AAGAAAAATAAAGTGGTGGGGGGGGGGGTGTAGAGGGAGAAAAGAAAATTGTTGTGAAAGAGCTGGATGATACCATTTTAAAAGTTGTAATTTCTGTACTCGCATTAATCTTATTTTACAATAGATTATGACACCCCATCCCCTCCCTCTATTCGATGCTTCGCATGCATGGCCACTACCCAGATTTTATTCTCTGGATCTGTCCTTGAAAATTTCGCCGTGCATTCAAACTTCATAGTGTTCAAGTTCAATATGGATGAGTTGGAATCAGCATGTGCGCCAGAAATTTCCTGACGAGAGCGTTGCGTGGTCGGGTGTCGCTTAATTTTTCTCGAAAACTACATGACAATTTAGGGGTTTCAAAGGCTCATTTACGATTTTAGAGTCTACTATTATGAAAAAATACATACCTGTATATTTTTTTCTTCTTCCCGAAAAATGTGTCCCCCCCCCCCCAACAACCACGGTGCCACCCCTGGTTCGAATGAAGTGAATAGATAAACATTTCTGTTTTAATACTATAAAATAAAATAATCATTGCTTTTATAGAGGTGAAAAGTCGTCGATCAGAAGGAAGCAAACCTCATTCTACCCCTTCAACACTGGCATGGTATGTAACCAAGAAATTTCAATAAATCACGAACATAAGGGTAAACCGAAGTACTTATTATAAACTTACTAAGTGTGTGGTACACATTAGCCGCAAAGCTTGTGGTATAATGGTAAAACCATGTTGAAACTATATAGCCATGGATTGGATGAATCATCACACAGGAAACAAATTAATCTGTTCAATACGAATATGTTTATATTTTCAATTATTTCATTATTTTTATTTTAGTAAAATGTTATTCTAGTGTAACCATATCTCATGACCTATATAATTGTATACGTTGTGACATTAAAAAAAAGTGTATTCGTATCTTTGATTGACTTTTTAGATGATTGTTATCAAATAATTATTATATTCTTTAATTATTTAAATTGACTATATATATATATATAT